AGTAGATGAGACCTTTGCAGACTTCCCATAGTAGAAGTTTAGTTAACGTTTCTAGTAAAAGGCACAGGATTTGTGACACAGGACTTCTTCCCTCAGGAAGCCAGCAATAAGAAGAGACAGGAAGCTGAAGCCCTCTGCTATGGCTATTCACATTTCAATTGAGTTTACTCAGCCTGTCAGGCTTGTGACATTTTTGTGAAGCAGTTTCTGAGCACATATCATTTAAATCTCTTCTGAACAAAGCTACTTAAGCTTCACTCTGTATGCCAGTGTGGATTTTCAGCCAAAGCTGTGGCCTTTAATAAAGGAAATGCAGTGCTGTACCCTACAGCAAAAGATCAGGCGTCCCTCAACTCACAGAGTTTTTAGTTAAAGCAACATAATAAAAGATTTATTACACGCGACACCTCTTACACTAGCAGACTTGATTTTCAGAAGTGCTTCAGTTTTCAGTGCTAAGAGATTCTGCTGAGACCCAGTTTCTATCAGTTTTTCCATCTTTGCAAGAAAAAAATCCAGTCCTTCCCCACTAAAATAGGTCTGTGTAGCTTGATATGCACTGCAGCTCATGAAGTTGTAAGCTCTTGAATATATAGGAAGATTGCTTGTGTAAAATATATGCAGAATCATATTTAAAATACATTTCCTCCCCCTTTTACCTGCTTTCTCTCATTTGACTTCATTATAATTATTGTATTTTCCTGTATTAACATATTTATACTTTGATTATTAAGGCTATGGCAGGAAGGCTTTCTGAAGTTTTTTTGTAACATGATGCAAAGGTGGCTAGACTCCAAATTAGTGTGTTCTTGTTATACCATTGTAGCCCCACTCAAAAACAATATATCTAGCTCTTTTCTACTTCTAGTGGGCCTCATCAAATGTATTGATCCCATAGGAGGACAGCTGTCTTGATGGGTTATATTTTCTCTCTGATATAGCTGGGTCTTGGCCTGAAGATCAGAACCACCACTTTCTGTTGGCAACACAAATTACTCAGGTACAGGGAAATACAGTAATTCATTTGAGAAGTAATGAATGCTTGAATAAAAAAGGCGAGATTCTCATCCAAGAGTAACAAGCAGGTTCCTAATCAGATGAGACCAAAGGCAGTATTTTCCCCACCTGATGCTAGTGGATCATTTAGGTTTAATGATCCCACTTTTAATGGGGTGGAGCAAATAACATAAGGGAGGAGAGTGTCCTGACTACTTTTTTTTACAAAGTTTCTCTGTTCTATCCAGCATCCTTCCAGTATTGTTGAAATTGAACGCAAGACAGCTGCTTTTTATCCAGGAGGTGATCTTTGCAGGCATCGGGGTATAATTGTTTGTTGTGTAGAAAAATGTGATCTATAGCTGGGTGTCATTGGTGCATTCTTGGCAGTGAATATCTTGCCATATTTAAGCAGTTGAAGAGATGGGGAGACAGATTTGATTACTGTCAGATCCTGAAGGTGAGGAACTTCGGGGGCAATGAAAAATTGTCCACCTCCCCTCTTTGGGTCCTGCTGGAGCTATTGTGGCATTTCCCTATCTGCTTCAGCTATGGCATGCATATGGGTCGGCAGCATCATATGGTCAAGCAGAAATATAGAAATATAATCTATTTCTAGGAAAAGCCTGCCATAGGGACTGATAGTCATCATCTTGTGCCCTGAACTAGAACCAGATTGTTAAGCATACAGGACGTTGGCAAATGTCAATAGTGTAACTAAGGCAGCTGCCCTAGGTGTTGACTTGGGAGGAGTTGGAAGACAGCAGCTGTAGCTGTAGCTGCATGATACAATCATGAAGCGTGGCAGCAACTGGAAGCTTTCCCATGTGCATCAGCTGCCCTGGGTGCTTGGCTGCATTGTTATGCCTCTGGCAGATACCACCTATGCTGGAACCTGGTTGCCCTTGATGTTGCTAGAAATAGTAGTTTATATTCTAATAATAGGTAAGAACTGAAGAAAAGTGTCTTTATCTACTTTTCAGAGGATCTAGTGAACAACAGGAAAATTGAGAGTTTTTTTTTCTCCGCAGAAAAAGATTATTTCACTTAGCAGAGACTTTCACTGTGAACAAGGATTGTGTACTTGTTTTGCAGCAAGTATCTTGAATATTTTTTACAGGCTTCTGCAGCCATAATATCGTATATGATGGGATCAAACCATCAGGAGTCATTTCTGGTCTTCTTTTGAGTTTACTCCTCACATCTGCTCTGTAAAACAGGATGTGGACTACTCAAGTTAACAGCTACTGCTTAGATCCAATGTTTGGATTATGCAAGCTAGATTGATTATCCAATGTACTATTTAAACAACTAAACCATTTCGAAAAGCTGTGCCAGCTGTGATCTGATGGACAGACTGCAAAGGGACAGCATGTAGTGGACGGGTGGGCAATTATTTTGGGCAGAGGGCTGTTTACTGAGTTTCAGCCAGCCATCGAGAGCCGCATGACAGGCAGCCTGGGCTGCATTTTGCCCACCCCTGATGTAATGTGTGTGGGGTAGTGGTGGTGGGGAGGTTCTGTTACTGCAGTGATATAATTCTCTAGGAAGGTTTAGAGCTCTTGGGGTGCATCTACATGTTGCTGTATGGTGACTTTGCTACAGTGCTGTGCTTTGCTACTTCCTTTTGGAAGTACTAAAAACCAATGCAGTGTGGATGGTTACTGCATTATGCGCATGGAGCACAGTTAGATTTTGCCACTATGTTGCTATAGCAGCACATTATACCAGGAGAGTGCACTACTACAGCAACATAGCAGCCAATCATGTAGACCCATGTGATCCCTACATCGCTATAGTGTGCCATATGACGACAAAGCGTATCACTTTCCAGAGAGGTGCTTCTCCCTCTCTACTCGGCATTAGTGAGGCTGCAACTGGAGTACTATGTCCAGTTTTGGGCACTGCACTTCAAGAAGGATGTGGACAAGCTCAAGAAAGTGCAGAGAAGGGCCAACCACATGATCAAAGGCCTGGAGGACAGGCCCTCTGAGGAGATGTTCTGGGAACTGGGCTTGTTCAGTCTGAGCAAAAGGAAGCTGAGAGGTGACTTTATAGCCACCTACAAGTATGTCAGAGGGGAGCACCAAGATCTGGGGGAGCGATTCTTTAGGAAGGTACCCCTTGAGAAAACGAGGACCAATGGGCACAAACTAACAGAGGGAAGATTTAGACTGGACATGAGAGGGAATTTCTTCTCCGTGAGGGTAACCAGAACCTGGAACACACTCCCAGCAGAGGTGGTGCAGTCACCATCCTTGGAGGTGTTCAAGAGGAGGCTGAATAAGCACCTCATTGAGCTAATTTGAGCTCATCAACCTCCTGCCTATGGCAGGGGACCAGAATTGATCTTCCATGTCCCTTCTGGTACACTGCTTCTATGTTGCCATAGGGCGACATGTCAGTGTGCCTTTGGTGGATGGATTTGGATCCAGAATGATTAGAGGGGTAATGTAGGTGTAAGTAGTACCTTGGGAAGAAGTTACCTATAGTACTGCATGTGAGGTCACTATAAAGTTGTAATAGATTGTTAACACCCTAGCTTTTCAGTGGATGGTTTGCTCTCATAAAGCAGGCTGAAAAAAACAGAGCTTTCTGTATGCACAAGTCATTTTGAGAACTTCCTATGTCTCACTTTTTTCATAACTGTAGGCCACATAGCACAGGTGGTTCATGTGGACAGTTACCTTGTTATATGAACTTGGCTCACCTTGTTCTTGACTTCTGTAGCAGGTCTCTAGACTTCTTTACAATGAGCACTATGGAATAAACTCTCAAGGCTGATAGTGAAATAACAGAAGTAGCAATCAAATAACAGAATTAGACGGGATGAAAAAACACTGGAAAAGAGGGAGCAAAGCTACCTTGGTGGGCAGATAGACTGCTTGTTTTAATGGGTATTTTCCATTTCTAATCTCCATGATTCACACTACCAAATAATTGATACATTAAATAATATTATTCTGAATATTGTACAGCCTATAGTTACTTTATGGTGCCCGGGAGTGGAGAATGATGTGACTGGTATGTTGGATTTATTTCATATGTGGATGTAATATACCATATTCACTTGAATCCAAGATGAAGTTTTTTTATCCCATTTAACATGTGGGGAAGCCCCTCATCTTGGATTCAAGTACAAGTAGAGGGGTAAGCATCTGCTGTGGCTCTGATTCCAGCCCAGACCCAAACTTAGTGCCACAGCTTCTGCCCCCTGCCTCTGCCTCCACCTCCCCCATGTCTGTCCCCAATCACTGCTGCCACTTACCTTCCATTGTGGCTTCAGGCCCACTGCTGCCCAGGGCATGGAGCACATGTTTGCTCTGGCCCCTGCCACCACCACTGCCACTGTTGCATGGCTGGATGAGAGTGGGACCTGTGCTCTGTGCTCCAGTCTAGAGCCATGACAGAGGATAAGTAGCTGGGGATGGAGTGGGGCAAAGGCTGTGGGGGATAGAGGCAATGGCAGGAGGATAGAGGCTGTTGGGGGGAGGTACCAAGGGAGGGGAGGCAAGTGGTGGTGGGTACAGGTGCCAGGAGATGCAGGTATTGGGTGGTAGGTGTCAAGGAGTGCTGGTGGTGGGGGGGAGTTGTGGTGGTAAGGACAGGAAGCAAGAAGCAGGGGTCAAACCACTTCTCACTCATGTCCTGCCCTTCTACTACCTGCCCCCGACTACTTTTTGCCCAACTGCAGCAGTGATAAGGATGAATTTAAGATGACCCTCTAATAATTAAATTCTAGATAGGGAAAATTATAACAAATTTATAAATTTTCCCTGTCTAGAATCTAATTCTAAGTGAGTCATCTTAAATTCAAAGTAATTTGGATTTGCGTAAATATGGTAATACAATATCTATTATATACTATATAATAGATATGTACATAATATGTACGTACAGCAATTACTCCTTAAATAGAGTCCTTACCTCAGATCTTCATTAAGCAGGAATGCTGTGTCTCATCAGTTCAAACCACATGATTCTTATCTCTGTTTCTATTTCAGGTGTTGACAGTCAGTGGATGCAGACTCTGAGAATGCATCATATAGCTAAAAGCACTTCACTTCAGCACTCAAGACCCCACAGTCCCACTACAGTAACCCATTTTCTACCATACCTTCAGAACCAAGATTCCTATGCTGCTGCTGTAAGACGGACACGAACTCCCATCAACTATCAGTTTACATCTATAAATCATTCTAGAAATTCATCTCCAGTCTCATATGGATTGACAAGAAACCTGTCATCTCTACATATTAATTCAAAGGGTAGTAGTACATCTAGTACAGCTTCTGATACCCCTTCAGAAAGGGACAAATCTGCAGGCAAAAACAGGAATAGTTACCATGGCGGTGACTCTCACAGTTCATCCATAAATGGAAGATACAGTGGACAAACTCCTCCTGTAGCATCTAAAAACTCTGGAAAAGTAAACAGGACTCCGCAGCCAACACTGAATCCATCAAGGTCATACAGCCGCAAAAATAACACATACAATCCCCGTAAGTCCATACCAGGTATGCCTTCAAAAACTGAAAGTGATCCTAAAGCAAAAGAAGAAGAGAGTAAAGTTAGTGAAGGTGGATGGATAAAAGTACAACATTCCAAGAAATCTCACAGACAGAGTACTGGCAAAACAAATAAGGAGAGATCCAAGGGAACCTGGCAAGGACGGAGAATATTCTGAGGAAGCAGTTTTCTGATATTTCCTTAGTAGCATAATTAAAAGCGGGCAGCTGAGGAGCACTGGCACTGATTATGTGGGGAGTGTCGGAATGGAGGCAGGGAGCACTGGACGTGGTAGGGGGCCATGCTTGGCATGGGCTCGCTCAAGCTCTAGGTTCTGGGAAGGCAGGTGTCCCCATGTCAGCCTTATTTTCCCTTCCCTTGCTGCGTGGCCAACAGCTACTGCATTAACCTTGTTCAGCTGCCGCCAAATTAAGGCTTTTACATACAAATCAGTGGCAGCTATAAAAGGGTGAAATTTACAGCTGTTGTAACAGTAGCATCTCCTATGGGGAGACAAAGTGAGGCTGATGAAGGGACTCCACACACCTGTCCCCACAGCAGGAACCTCCAGTCCCTGGATAAGCCTGCACCATAGCAGGTAAGATTTTGCCCACTTACCCCACCTTTGTTCTCCAGTGCTCAGTAGATGCTCCCCCCTGCCCCCCAGCACTTTGTTCAAGGCACAAAAATAGGTAGCTCTACCTCTATTTGTAGAGGGTTTTTCCTGCTTTGTATTTAACAGAATATTTTGTTCAAAGAGTATACAAAGATCCACTTTTATTGAAATATACTCACCATTTGTACATAGCCTTTAATTAAAGATCCTACCTTGCACTGAGACCACAGCCATGCCCAGAACTGGCATTAGTCGCGAAGAACACCAGCCAATGACAACACTAGGTGGCAATAAATTGTTTTTGTTCAAATTTCAGTGAACTGTGGCTGAATTTTCCTTCTGTCCCTTGTCTGCTCATGTCCTTGGTTGGGGTGGGTGCCCATTACATTTGCTTTCTATGTCAGTAGAAATTAAGACACAGCTGGATATCATGACAAAAAGTTATTCAGTTCGTTCATGCTATGTTCTGCTGCTATAACTGCCATTGGACTCAGTTAATTCTCTGTACGCCAAGAATGGCCTTGATTTTCAAAAAGAGAAATGCTTCTTTTATTTCTCCTTTTGGTCTTCTCCCAATCTGCCATCTATAAATAGAAATGTTTCACCTCTCCCTTTAAAGCACAGTTACCACGAAATAGCATTTTGTAACAAATGCATTTGTCATAAACCGATGCAAAAAATGTGACAGTTTTTAGGAAAGAGAGACGATGCTTTATTAAGTTAGATCTAATCCTCTTGAGGTCTATGATAATGTTTATCCCTGTGCAGCAGGCATTTTTAATTGCATTTTAAATGTAGCCAAACTGCTGGGTTTTGTCTTTCAGTCTTCAGGTGGTAAATGAAGGTCAGCAAACTTTGTGATTAATATAGTCTGTAATTCCATCGAGAACGAAGACACAACTGCAAACAGGCTTCTCTTCACAAAGTTTCTTGTTGACCTTTTAACTCAACTTTGATTTCATGCACTCAAACAAAGTTCAGATTTCCCAAGATGCAAAAAAATGAAAGGAGCACAGCCCAAACAGTGACAGTGCAAGAGACAAGCTGAGGAGTTTTAAATTAGTGATGATTGAGTAAAACTCTAAGGCCCTTGGCAGACAATAAAAGGATCCTGTGATTGGGATCTGAGGAATCGTGTGCCTGCTCTCAAAAACTGCATGTTGTGCTGTCCCAAACATGCATGGCAGGATACATGATTTTTAGAAGATAAAATACCTCAGATCCCAATTGCAATGACTGCCAACATGGGAAGCCTGGCAGAGGGAATTCCACACTCCTATACACCAGCACTAGTCCCCTGATATTTAGCCGCAACAGTACACTGTTCAACAGGCAGGGAGCAGCCCCAGGCGCTGGACCCAGGACCTGAGGCTGTCTCAAAGAATTGGGAACAGAGCAGCCCCAGGTCCCAGAGCCAGGGATCTATTCAGGTGTGCATTGGAGAGCTCCGGGGTCTCTAGATACTCACACCAATCAGCACTGAGCTGTATAGCATAGCTTAAATATCCCAGTGCAGAGCCCACACCATACAGCACAGGAATATTTAAAGCCACACCATACAGCTCAATGCATGCCACACATTCAGATTGAAGTACCACACAAACCTGACACAATGTTTTATGTTATATCTGGAACATTTTTCTGGCTGTTTTGTCATTTTTAGAGCCACAAATTAGCGGAATATGAGACATTTTGCAATTTATGAGGTGATTAACATGTTAATTAGACCACACTTTATACGTCCTTTGGCAACCAGCTGGGGATGATGGGAGCAGGATTGTGATAGTCTGGAAGCTCATAGTCATGAACTGACACAAAAGTGGCAGTTACAAGAAGCTTGTCCAGCACTTGGATGAAGCAGAAGTGTGACTTGACAGTGGTAACTATGACTGAGCAGCCCCGTTCAGGATCTGCTCTGCGTACCCCACATGGAGAGGGAGCTAGAAAAGGTGCCCTAAACATAGCCTGTCTACCTTTTTCCTGACTGGATAACTGTGGCCAGTAGGATCACCTTTTCTGCAGTCAAAATCAGATGACACAACCAGTTTTGGGACCTGGAACATCAGGACCCTCATGGATAATCCTAATAGTGAACAACCAGAGCACCACACTGCAATCATGGCTCAAGACAGTATTGACATATTGCATCAGATGACAATACTGATATCACTGCAGTGAGTGAAACCCAGTGAGCGAGAGATGGGCAGCTCAAAGGAGGAGGTAGCTATACCGTCTTCTGGAAAGGTAAACAGGAAGGAGAATGCTGATGTCATGGGGTTGGCTTAGCCATTAAGAATGAACTCATAAACCAAATCAATGAGCTTCCTTTTGAAATTAATGAGTGCCTTGTGACTTGCCATCTTAAATTGGCAGGGAACCAATACGCCACTGTTATCAGCACGTATACCCTGACTCTTGACACTGCCAATGAAACCAAGGAGGCATTCTACACCAACCTTAACCAAGTCCTTTTTGATGTTCAGGAAGGAGACAGACTTATTCTGCTCAATGATTTGAATGCCAGTCAAAAGGGACTCAAACCTCTAGTACAGAGCCATTGGCAAGGAAGGAGCAGGAAAGATCAGCTCTAATGGCATCCTCCTCTTGGCCCCTGTTCTGCCAGAAAAACAAGACATCATGGTAACACTGGCAATCTAAGCACTGGCACTTGATTGACTATGTCATTATTCATGTTTGGGATCACAAAGACATCTGCATCACCCAAGCTATGCTAGGAGCTGATGATTGCTGGACCAACCATCTTGTCTGCTAAGTTGTGTCACTCAAACTGGCCTCCCAAATGACAGCTTTAGCAGAAACAATGTTAACAAAACATCAACATTAAAGGACTCAAGGACCCAATCAAGCAAGACCTCTTTCATCAGTGCCTCAATGAAAAACTGGCAAATTCCAAGCAACAACAAACAGAGAATATTGGCAGTGCTTGGGGTGCCTTCAAGGTCCACCATCATCAGATCCTGTAAAGAGATATTTGGACTCTACCAGGAAACATCAAGACTGGTTTGATGAGAATGACCAGAAGATGCAAGAATTGATTGACCACAAGCTTTTTGTGCTTAGCAGAACAACATCATTTCCAAGCAAAAGAAATTGAATCACCAACAAGCCAAGGCAGAGGTCCACAGGAAAACCTGTTATATGAAGAACGGATGGTGGGAAGGTCAACCAAACTGTGAGGGATTGCCAATATATAGGTTTCCCTTGCTTTCTGCATTCTGGAAAACAGCACATAACTCAATCCACGTAAAGGGAACCCACTTTATAATTTAACAAACGGATATGTTCCAAGACCTCGACTGTACTGACCCCCAGACCCATTTCTATCACTTTTACAAGACAATTTTGGTATTCACCAACAACAGACGGTACACACAAGCACAGGGTGGCAGTGAATGTTGCCATAATGGGGATGGCAACTACAGAAACATGTTGCAAACAACAAGCAAGGAGCACAGATCCTATATGACACAGAAGACTATATGTTGTTGCGTGTCACTCCCACAATGTGCTGCACAAAGCAGCTGACTGTGGGCATCCACCACACTATCACATAAGCGTGAATTTACCTTGTATATGATGAATTTTTTGTATAAAAAGGGTCATCGCATAAGAGCAAATTCACACGTACAGAACCCACATAAAGAGAGGGAAACCTGTATATATAAAATTGCACCATACATGCAATGTCTGCCAGGGCCCCTGTATACTAATGCTGGTAATGCCTGTGAGCAGTCAGGCTCTTGGAAGACAATGTTCTGGACTTTCTGGTATGCAACTACAGTACGTTATAAAGAGCCCACTGATACTTTACCACCCAAAGCAAGATAGATGACAACAATCCAACTTGGTAGTTATCACACAAGGAGTTGTACCAGTGAGGTCACAGGGGAAGTTTAAAACTGGATAAAAATACAAGGATACATTTTAGGGAGCAAACTTCTTTGGGTGAGAAGATTGAATGGTCTAATGGAGCAGTTCCCAATCTGTAGTACATGTACCGCCACTAGTATGCAGACAACCTGTCAGTGGTACATGGCAGCAGCAGGTGAGGGCACTCGGGGCATTCATGCCTGGCTCAAGTGCCCAGCAGGGTGCAGCTCCGGCCAGCGCTGCACATCACAGCAAGGGGCACAGCCTCTGGCGGGCCATCCATATCGCCAGTGCTCCCCACGCGTACATGTAGCTCTTGCATTCGCCAGGCACAAGAGGGAAGCCCTGTACACTGGAGCTCACTGCCTTCCTCGCTAGAGCTGTGCGGCATGGGAGGGAAGCCCCAGGTGCCTTCCTCTGGGGGTCAGGAAGGCAGCCAGCTCCAGCACATGGGGCTTCCCTCCTGTGCCTGGTGAGTGCAGAGAGTGCTGTGGATACAGACTGCCCAGTGGAGGATGCGCCCCTTGTTGCGATGTGCAGTGCTGGCTGGACCTGCGCCCAACTGGGTGCCCTGAGCACCTCTGCATGATGCTGCACCATGGGGGGATTGTGAGGGGGTCCCCATATACCCCCAAGCTCCCTCAAGCCCCACACATCCTTCCCCCACAACCCCCCCAACATACCCTACGCTCCCCCACACACACACACACACACTCCACCTGGTGGTACTTGAAGTTGTATTATTTTAAATTGGTGGTGTGCAATCTGTCAAGAGTTTGGAAACCGATCGTCTAGTAGATATTTTCCATTTCAGATTTCTGTGAAATCTGGTGCCAATGCTATGTGCTCCAGTTAAAGTATGTGTTAACAGATTATATTTTGAACTCTGTTGAACATACATACCATTTTTACTGGCAAGGTTGGGGTGAAGGAAAGGGATGATATGCCTGTCAAAAGAACAGGGATGGAATAATGAGAGAGAAAAATAACATAGATGCTCAACTTTGAAACTCAAACCTACACCCTCTAATGGAATAGATAATCCAAAATCACCCTCTTGTACTACGGACTAGATTGTTGCTCTCAGGCCCTCAGATCATCAAGCCCTTGGATCACCTCTAAAGGCTACTTCTGTTCTTGTCTCTCCACCGCAGAACTTTGCTCAGGGGAATCTGGGGGAGGTGGAGACTAAATTGGGTTATGTGCTCCCTGTGTTCAGAATATATTTACCCAAAGCTAAGCCAGAGAAACAGTAGTTATTCCTGGGAAGCCTTTTTTGTGCAAAATCTGAAACTTAGACATTCGATCAATTTTCCCTTTGATTATAATAACACTTAACAGGGAGCAGGATAATAAACAGATGGAGTTAGGGAGAAATAGTATGTATGTATGGCTAAGGGATAACAAAGCTGCTTGTATTTTAAAATGGTAAAAGCTGTCTAATCATCCACTTGCTGGGTATCAGTGTAGTGGTCCAAGAAAACAGGGTTAAAATTATTAAGCGTCGTTAGCTGGAACACAGAGTGACTACTGCCCTATTTTGGGAACA